GAAGGACAGAGAACCACGGGGAGGAGGGTTTGGGCAGAGTGACTGTGTGCAGATTGGGGAAAAGCGGCGGACCCGCCCCCCGAAGGCCCCGCCCCCGAAGGCCTCCAGCCCCGCCCCCTGCAGTGACTCCGCCTCCTCCAAGCTCCATTCTTTATTTGCGGCTGAGGAGGTGGGGGGTGGGTGGGCAGCAGCAGGACCCCCCCCTCCGCTCTGCTACAACATTGAGCACAGCAGCAAATAGCAATAAATAAAGGCACAGGCATGGGGGGCGGCCACAGAGGCCTCTTCATCACTTGGGCTCCACTCCTTGCATGACTCCATCACCACCTGCTGCGGGGGGAGAAAGGACATCAGATCCATTGGGGGTGGGCAGACCCCATCTGGGAAGGGCCAGTTCCATGGGGAGGGGGTCAGAACCTATTTGAGGGTGGAGCAACCCCCCGGGGAGGGGTCGTACCCAATCATTCTGGAGGTGGGGGGTTGGGAGGAGGTCAGTCCCTCCTCCTAGAGGACCTTTAAGCTGTTCCCTCTCCCCCCCATCCCTCCAGTTTGGCAAGTTTCTATTGCTTGTTATGCCATAACACCATAACTTCCTACCTCAGTGCATTATAACCCAAAACAATACATGTGAAATCCAAGCAAAAAAAGTCCTTGCACCTGGTGGATGCAAAGATAAAAGCAGTCTGTTGTGACTCCAGTGGGATTGGTCAGGAAAACAAGGCTGTGCGCACACCAAGCAAAGCCAATCTGGAAAGTTGTAGAACAAGCACTCATAGATTCCTTTTGCTAAACTAATGTATTCATCCTTGAAGGGATAGACTGATCTCTATTGCTAAACCAGTCTATGGGGGGGAGCAGCTTCATTAGTCGGGTCTAACTCATTAGAAAAAGGGGATGGCCTCCATTGGGGAGGGGTCAGACCCTTTGGGGAGGGCAGGGCGCTCACCTTCCCATCCCACAGCACAGTGGTTTTGATGAGCACCATCCTCCACGCAGGCCTCAGTGGTGGATCAAACACTGGGGGAGGGAGAAGCCACCAAAACCCTTCTCCCACCCCTCCAGACAAAGCTTTGGGATGGGGGCACGAGGACACAGCTGCAGCCCTTGGGGGTCCTGGCCACCCCTCACTGCAGTTCTAGTGGGGATGGAGACAGCGGGGTGCAGGGGGAGGTGACCCTGATTTTGCACTTCAATCCAATAAGAAGGGAATGGGAAGGGGATCTTCTCCAATGGCTGAGGTCTGCACAGCTGCTGTGCACAGCCCGATGCTGCACCCCATGGTCTCCCAGCACACAAAGGGATGCATCCACTGTCCCGTGCTCAGGGTCACATCTCAGTGCTGCCCTCCCCATAGGACATCCCCCTGCCTCACCAGCCCTCCTCACTGTTCAGCAGCTTGCGGTACGTGGCGATCTCCACGTCCAGGGCCATCTTGACACGGAGCAGATCCTGATACTCGTGCAGCTGCCGTGCCATCTCCTTCTTCATGCTCTGGATCTCCTGCTCCAGCCTCCCCATTGCCTCCTGGTAGCTCCTGATCTCCGTGCCAAACTCATCCTCCATCTCCTGCATCTGTCTCTGCAGTGCTTCATTCTGCAGGATGGAGGGGGGACACAAAGAGATGGAATGGTGATGGGGGACTCCTTGTTCCCCTCTACCCCCCAACCCGCCAGTGCTCACCATGCCCTTCAGCCCATCCACTTCGGAGGTGAGGCTCTGGATCTGCCTCTGGGATTCGTTCATCTCCTGCTTGGCCACCCGCAGCGCCTCGCAGTTACGGTTGGCAGCATCCAACAGATCAGCAAACTGCAGGCACCGTGGGGGACGGGGGGGAGGAAAGAGGGTCAGCATCGTGGAGGTGCCCCCATCATCCCCACATCAGCAAACTGCAAGTGCTGATGTGGAGAGGTCAGCCCTGTGGGGGTGTTCCCATCCCATGCATGCCCCCACGGGTACCTTGGCTTTGTACCACTCCTCGGCTTCCTGCAGGTTTGTGACAGTGATGCTCTCATACTGCGTGCGGATGTCGCGCAGTGCAGCTGTCAGATCCGGTTGCTGCAGCTCCATTCGTGCCCCTGCCTGTGCCTGTGGGCTCTGTGCATTCACCTCCAGCTCCCACAGCTCCTACGTGCCCACATTACACCATCACACCACAGCCTCCACATGGGACCCCCACCCCCCCATCCCCCCACAACCTCCTCGTGTAGCTTCTTCAAGAAGCCGATCTCATCCATCAGCAGCTCAATCCTGTGCTCCAGCTCCAGGCGGGACAGTGTGGCATCATCCATGTCCTGCAATGGCTAAAGCTGCAGGGACTGCAAAGAGCAGACCCCCTCCCCCCCCAACACACTTCGGGCCACCCCCTGGGCATATGCATGGGGCATCCCCGAGCTCTTTGCCTATTGGTGTGGGAAGTACACAGGGTGCACTGGACCCCCCCCTCCCCATCTCACCTTGCGGAACAGCACCAGGCTCTGCTCTGCATCTTCACGCTTCTGCATCTCATCCTCCAGCCTGAGGTGCAACGGGAGGGAGGTCAAAGTGTGTGTGTGGGAAGGGGACAGAACCCCATTTTAGGGATAATATAAGGGGGAATTTCTTTGTTTCTGGCACAGGCTGCCCAGAGAAGCTGTGGGTTCCCCACCCTGGAGGTGCCCAAGGCCAGGCTGCATGGGACCCTGGGCAGTTTGATGAGGTGGGGGGCAACCAACACATGGCAGTGGTTGGGTTGGAAGGGCTTTGAAATGCATCCCCTGCATCCCCCGGTCGTTTGCAACACATCTCAGTCCTCACCCAACATCCCCGTCCCATTCCCTGGTCATCATTTCCCCCCTCTCCGGACCATACCGGGTCCCCTCCCTGGTGTGTCCTGGTTCATTCTGGAATCCCTGTCCCCAAGCCCTATCCCTTTGCAACACACCCCATTTCATTCCTCACTGCCCATCCCTATGGCCCCAGTATATTTCCTGCTTCCCATCCCAGTGCATCTCAATCTCCATCCCTGTGACCCCCACTGCATTTCCTATTTCCCACCCCCACTATATCCCAATGCATCCTAGATCCGTCCCCAGCATCCCCTGCTGCCCATCCCTATTATGACCTCCGCTGCACTTCCTAGACCCTATCCCATTCATCTCCAGTTCCTACCCCCAGACCACACCCAGTCCCTCCTCAGCACATCCCCGTTCATCCCACAGTCTCCATTCCAGATCCTCCTCAACCCCAACGGCTCCCGGTCCCCACCGCCGTACATTCCGGTTCACCCCACGGTCCCCAGTCCTGGATCACTCCCAGTCCCTCCCCAGCACATCCCGGTTAACTCACTCTCGCTCTCCCCACTACACATTTCAGTGCGCCCACCCCTCCTTCCCCATCGCATCCCGGTCCTCACATCACATCACTCCCGCTCCCTCCCCTATACATTTCGATCTACCCCTCCCATCACACCCCCTCCGTTTCTCCTCCCGCCGCGCACCGCCGCCGCAGCCCCTGCAGCTCCGCCGCGAGCCCATCGCGCTCTCCCTGCAGCCGTTCCCTCTCCCGGCCGAGGCGCTGCAGCCGCTCCCGCAGTCCCCGCAGCTCTCCCCGCACCAACCCCGCAGCGCGGGGAGCAGCGGCGGCGCGACCGATGGCTGAGCGAAGGGCTCCGTTCTGCCGCTCCAACGCCCGCACCCTCTCCAGAAAAGCGGCGAAACGATCGTTCAGAGCCGCCAACTCCGTCCGCTCCGCGCTGCGCTCCGCCGAACGCCCGTCAGCGGGAACCGGCGGAGAATCGAGGGTGCGGTCCCGGGGTGGGGAGAAATCGCGATTCATCGCGGCTGCGGGAAGAGGCGGCCGCCGGGGATTGCGGATTGACAGCGAACGGCGGCTCCGCCCCGGCCGGGGGATGCGGGAGTGAGGAGCAACGGGAGGGAAATGAGGGGAGGGGATTTGGGGTGGGGGCGGGGCTCCCCCAGGTGCCCCCGGTCGCTCCCTGGGCTCAGGTGAGAGCTGCTGGGTGCTAAAAGCAGCGGGGTTTGAGCATCGCTTGCGGTCCCCATCCCTCCACCACTGTCACTGAATTCCCCTAGTAATTAGATTTCGGTAAGGAAGCATTTAAGAAAAACGTAATTTTTCTTAACGTAACATGGATTTCCTGGCTTTGGAGAATTAATTTAATTTAATTTAATTTAATTTAATTTATTTCCCTATTTTCTTTTTTTCCAGCTTTGCGCTCTTCAAAATCAAATGGAAAAACCCCACGCCGCGTTCGGAGCCGCGCGGCTCTTTTCTCGGTCTCTGCTGCCACCGTGTGGCCAAAATGCGGAACTGCAGGAGTGGCGCTCGGGGGGCGGTTGAGCTCCGGGTGACGGAGGTGGCCGAGGGAACTTTTAGAGGCGGTGCTGCTGGTGGTTTTATAGGACGGAGGGGATCAGGGTTGCTGAGGGCGGTTCGGACCTCCCCGGCGCCAGCACTGCCCTGCAGAACGCTCCTGGAGCTGCTCAGCGCGTCGCTCTGCTCCCCCGCTACGAGTCTCTATGGTAATCGGTCATCCAGACACTAACATGCAAGCATCGCGACACACAGAAGTCGCGACTCTCCGCTCTAACAGCTCTGCGTCGTCAATTCGCCAATATCTATATGGTAATAGGGCTCGCGATTGTACTGCGCATGCGCAGGGAAATGCGGAAATGGAGTCCGTTTGCTTTAACCGCTCTGCGCTCCCAGTCCTCCAATCTCTATGCTTGTTTGGTCCTCCAGGCTGTAGCACACATGCGCAAACAGCTCTAACCACTCTGCACCACAGTTCCGCCAACCTCTATGGTCTTTGGTCCGCCAGGCGGTATTACGCATGCGCACAGGCTCAAGCAAGCACATTGGGAAGCCTGTGGGGTAAACGGGGGGGGGGGCGGCGCAGACATACTTTGGGGGTCCGAGCATAAGTGATACAGGGACCTCTGGGGCCCAGAAATCATCTGCCCCACAAGGAGGAGTCCCCGCTTTTGGGGTGTCCCCAGTTAGGAAGTGCCTCACTTTGTAGAATCTCCCCATTTCTGAGGTTTCCCCATTTCCAGGTGTCCCCATGTGCTTCCACTAAGGGAAGCTGTGTTTGGGATGTGCAACTGGAATAGGGATGGGATTGGGGTCGGATAGGATGAGGGTGGGGATTGGAATGGGAACAGGAATGTGACAGGGATGGGATGCGACTGGGATTGAGATGGTGATGAGGACAGGGATGATAGGGAAGGGGGGATGGATAGGGATGGGGATGGGATTAGGGTGGGGGTGGGATTTGGGATTGGAATGGGGTAGGGAATGGGAATGTGACAGGGATGGGATGGGACTGGGACAGATGAGAACTGGGATGAGGATGGCATGGTTTTGGGGTATGGATGAGAACAGGATGGGATGGGGTGAGGATGTGAAGACCCCCGGGTGCCCCCCACCACGCAGTGCTGGTGCGGCCGTTCCGATCACCTTTATTGGAGGAAATCAACAGAAAACCCAACGGCGCCCAGTGCCGCACAGCCCCACACCCCACAGCACTCCCACCCCAACAGCAACAGGGCAGGGAGGGAGATGGGGAGCAGATTTGAGGCCAGACCCCCCCAAAGACCCCCAACCCCCCCCCAAAAAAAACCCAAACGAAGCAGGGCGGAGCGGCAGGGCCTGGCAATATCGGTTTTCCTCCTTTTTTTCCTTTCCTTATGCTGATTCTTGGCTTGATTTCGGCAGGGCGGCGCTGGGTTTTCTGTTCCATTTCGGTGTTGGGGTTGGGGACGGCCTTCACTCGCCGCACTCCTCCTCCTCGCCATCCACTGACAGCGCTGCATACTTGCTGGCGTGGCTGAACTATGGGGTGGAATGCCAGCGCTGTGGGGCTGGGCCCTGCCCCACAACCAGGCAAACCCACCCCCAATAGCCCCCAACCTGCAAAAAGCCCCAAAGCCCTACAGGTCTCCAAAGCCCCAAGTCCATAGAAAACCCCATACAGCCCCCAGACTCCAAAGTCTAGGGCTGTGCCCCACTGCTCAGCCGGAGTGTGGCACTGCCCCCAGTCCCACCCAATCCCACTGGGGTCACACCCAGGTCCCGTCAGGTCCCACTGGGGTCACTCCCTTAATGGGACATGATGCTAATGCATCAGACCCATGTCTCACCCAATCCCACTGGGGTCACACCCAGGTCCTGTCCGGTCCCACTGGGGGTCACACCTACGTCCTGTCAGGTCCTACTGGGGTCACACCCAGGTCCCGTCAGGTTGCTAATGAGACCTGATGCTAATGCATCAGACCCAGGTCCCATTCAATCCCTCTGGGGTCACACCCAAGTCCAGTCAGGTCCCACTGGCATCACCCCCAGGTCCTGTCAGGTTCACCCATGCCACTCACGGGGGCTGGGCTGTCCTCCAGTCTCTTTGGCTCAGGCGCAGCTCTTGCCTCATGCTCCTTGCGGCCGTCTTTCCTGGGGAGGAATGGAGAGGACACTGAGTGGGGTGAGGCAGGGCAGCATCCCCCCGTTAACCCTAACGAGCGGCACTCACCTCTCGGCCGAGCTCCCACTGCGCGCCTTCGGGCCATCCCGGCCCCCATCTGGCTTGTTCTCATCCCCTGGGGAGGGGACACAATCATGTGCTGAGGACACTGTGCCCACCCAACCTAAAGCCACCATGCCCCCAGTGCCACCAAGAGGACAGTTCTGCCCCCCACCCCACCGCCTGCCCCCCTCACCTCTCCGGTGGGTGCTCCTTGGGGTGGCCCCATTCTCTGCAGGCGGGCGGGAAGCCATCTGGCTGCTGGGAGGACAAAGGGTCACAGCGGGGTCAGAATGGGGTCAGATGGAGGTCAGAGAGGGGGACAGGTGTGGGGTCAGGCATTGGGTTGGCCACTGGGGTCAGATATAGGGCTTAATCACTGGGGTTGGCTATTGGGGTCAGATATGGGGGTCCACCATTGGGTTGGCTATTGGGGTGTTGGTCACTGGGGTGAGCCATTGAGGTTGGCCATTGGGATAAGATAATGGATTTCAGATATGGGGGTCAACCATGGATCAGAATGTGGGGGGTGATCAGTCTCTGCATCAGCCATATAGGGGAATGGTTTTGGGATTTCAGTCCCACAACAATCTCACAGGGGATTAATTTTGGGGGTTCTGTCCTAGCAACAACCTGAGGGGGAACAATTTGGGATTCAGCCCCACACCAACCTCACTGAAGAACCATTTGAGGACACTGACCTCAGACAAATCTTACAGGGAACTGATTTGGGAAGATCGAGCCCCACGCCAACTTTTCAGGGGAAGATTTGGGTTTCTGCCCCCCCAGTCTCTGCAAGGGGAAGACCCAGGGCTCCCAGCCCCATGCCAAGCCCCGCATCATCCAACACCCCTCACCTGCTGGGTGAGTGCTGCTCAGAGTCAGAGCCTGGGGAGCGCCCGGCGGTGCTGCTGCTGCGCTTGGCCCACGCGTTCTCCTTGGGGGGCGGCGCGGGCATCACCTTCAGTGGCTGCTTCTCCTCACGGCCCTCCTCCTCGCGGCCGCACGCATCGCCCTCCACTGACTTCTCACTCTCCCTCCTCCTTGTGGCTGCAGGGGGGCACATAACGGTGGGCAGGGCTGGGGATGAGCCCTACCTGCACCCCCCCATCCCCAGACCCCCACCCGACACCTACTCCTGCCGGTGGGACCGGTGCCGGCGGTGGTGCCAGGGGGTCCTGCAGCTCCGCTCTGTGAGGACTCGCTGCCTGTTCGTGACCGCTCGGGGTTGTCCTCACTGCGGCTGCTGGGGTACCTGGAGGTGGGGGGCAAGCAGGGGGACGGGGCTCAGCGTGGCACCCTGCAGAGCTGTACCCCCGCCCCACGTCCCCAATGCTGCGTCTCCCCACCGCTCCCTGGGCCGCCGCTCCAGCCTCTTGTCGTCCTCTAGCTGCCGCTGCAGCTTCTCCTGTTCCTTCTGCAGCCTCTCCTCCACCTCACGCTCGCGGGCGGCCGTGTCCACGGGTTTGGCCCCCCCAAAGATGGAGGCGGCGCGGCTGGACTGCGGTGCAGGGGCCGCTGTGCTCTCCTCCTCCTTCGGAGCGCTGCGCGGCTTCAGGTTCAGCTTTGGGCGCTGCGTGGGGCCTGGGGGGATGGCACATGGGGCTGGGGGGTGTCCTGCATCCCCACATCCCGTACACAACGCATCCCATAGCTCTCCACCCATGTGCTCCATCCTGCATCGGCCATCTGCTTCTTGCACCCCACATATCCTGAATCCCACATCCTGCATTTCCCTACACCTCCCCATCCAACAGCCTGTACCCCAAATCACACCATCTGAAATACCCCAACGCCCCCCATTCCATACCCCAAACCCCACCCCATACCCATCATCCTGCATGCCCCTACAGCCCCCAACCCATACCTCATACCCCACATTCTGCATCCCCTTACACTCCCCATCCCACA